GGGGGGTTGGACTAGATGACCCACAGAGGCCCCTTCCAACCCCTACTATTCTGTGATTCTGTGATCTAGAGACTACAACAGCAGGCAGATAATCAGAAAGCAAATACTGTATTTCTAGTTTTGCTGTTGGTTTGCTGAATGACTGGTACATGTAAAACTGTTTTACAGCTTGAATTTCTTTCTCTAGAAAAAGGATGCTGCTACTGAAGTATCTCACATAGGTAATAGTAGCCTTCATTTGTATCTATATGCAAAGCTCTGAAAGTAACAGAAAGGTTATTGTTACATGCATAATTCATTTAGCACAAGACTGGCAGTATTAAATCATCCACGCAACAGATCAACACACTCTTCTTTGGGAAAGTGTTCTGTCCAATCCATAATGTACTGGAACCACATATTACATTTTGACGTAACTTATGGCCAAAAGTTTTTTAGACTGCTTTTTTCTTTTGGTATATATGTAACATATGGACAACAACAACAATAGGATAAACCAAAATTGATTCAAGTATACAACTTACATGGAAAGACAACAAAACATATTATGGCAATTTTACTGCCTTCTTTCGCAGAAGTACAAAAGGACACGAAGTTCCCTCTGCAGCACTTATTTTTACTACACTATCATAACCCAGAGACATTGATTGAAAATGAAATGCTAGTAGAAATGTATAATATTTGAATCCATATCACAAGTGTATTTAGCGAACGTTTCTATAAATTACTTCCGAGAACTTAAACCCAATTATCGAAAAGTCTCCAACATGAAATAATGAGGAAAACTGCTGTTTCAGACACTGAATGAGCCAGGTTTTCCTCTTCAGACACACATCTAAAATCCCATCAGCTTCAGTGAAGCTGAATGTGTCATGTAGGGTAGAACTGGCTTAATAGTGCACATTTACAGCTGCAAAATTACAAATGAATTAAAATTCCCTTTAAGGAAGTAATCTGATATTATGTCAGTATGCTGCATCATACAAGTAAAATAAAGCACTTGGTTTACTACTTCCTAACTGAAAGATGTACTATATTTAAACATCTACTACAGTGTACATTATAGGTCAACACTACATATTTGTTACCCTAATTTAAGCCCCATGCTTATTGAAACCTGCATTTCTTACCAGTTTGCCTTGCTTACTGAAGTTATATTTAGTGGTTTTGGTCTAAACTACAACTCACTAAATGTAAATGCATTTTTCATTTCTGCATATGTATGAAATTTGACATCACTTCACTGTAAGAACTCTGACACAACTGGGTTCTAGAGACCAGAGCATAACAACAGCATTAAAAACTAGGGATAATTTCCCCATCTACTGGCTACTTGTATGTGCTTCTTATTAGCAATCCACTAAGCAGGGCTTTATTTATTTATTCATTTATTTTGCATCACTCCAAGTTTTTTAAGTTTTATTTTGAACTCTAACACAGGCCAGCATCACTGGACTATCAACAGAAACCAAATTTTTCTCATGCACAAATGTTGACTGGACAGAACTGTTTACCTACATGAATGGATGGAAACCTGTGATAATGAGCTTTCCTTACTTTGCAGAGATTTGTGCTTGGGGTATTCGATACTGTTAGAAATCTAGACTTACCTAGTCAACTTAAATGGACAATTTGGTTTAACTTGCTTGAATAATTGCATATAGGCAGGTGCAATATTTAAAATATTAAACTTCTGCTAGTGGTGAATTCTTGACACATCCTTTACACATTGGAAAGCTTTATAGAGAACTATAAGAAGCTCCTTGGAGTAGCCATCTTCACCATCGGCTCCATACAGCACTCAGCATAAGGCCTTTGGGTCCAACCATGGCACAAATAACACTGAGTAATAACCCAATTTCTTAGAACATTTAGAAAACATCCTTAGGTTATATTACTTTTGATGCTGTGGAGAGAGGGGCCAGTTACTCAACGATGTGGTAATGAGGAAGACTGTAAGTGGTGTTTGCAGGTACAATGTGTTGTTGAACTCAGAAAAAAGGCAGTTCTACACAGATATCTACGTATACTGTTTGCATACCCACATACTACCCAGGATGGAACAGAGAATTACCAGACAATAGTACAGACAATTTCTCCCGTTCTTTACACAGTCACTTCTTTGGTATTATCCAGACTTTTTCCTTTAACTATAACTTCTAATTTATAAAATCAGATTGCAACAATTGTAATATATTGAGGTACTGTACAACTCTCCTGTAAGGACAAATGTTATTAAAAAATGAGTATCAAGTACTTTAACTCCAGTAATACAACTGCAGTTACTCCTGCAAGGGCATGTTGCTTGCATATGCATAACCATGAAGATACCGAACACTGTTACTTGTTTAGTCAGCAACCTGAGCAACAGCTCTAGTGAGAATCTGGTTATATATAAGGAGCGGTTAAGAGGTCACCCTATTCCTTTTCTAATACAATTCACATGCATTTCAACAACTGAAAATAACAAACTGTGCTTACCTTGCCCAACAGCAGAGTGTATTTTTTCCACATCAAATTTAATCTTTGACCTTCCAGGTGTACTTAACATTTTTTCCCAAATCAAAGTTACATCTTTTAAGCATGGTGTGATTTCTTCATAGTCAAGTTTCAGACGTCTGTTCTGCAAATTGTTTTCTGAAGCTAGGAAGAGATATCATGAATGCACCAGTTAATACTGTTTACTATTTGTAGAATGGATTAATTTAACTTGGAACTTCATCATGCAATCCACCTAAAATTAAACCCTATTAATTCTGAAACATTACATGTCTAAAATCTCCTTCTCTGGAGATATTCAAGACCCGCCTGGACAAGGTCCTGTGCAGCCTGCTGTAGGTGACCCTGCTTCGGCAGGGGGGTTGGACTAGATGACCCACAGAGGTCCCTTCCAACCCCTACCATTCTGTGATTGCGTGATTCTGTGAAATTTTTATGATAGTGGGGTGGTGGTTTTGTTTTTTTTGTTTTTAAAATTATTATATACAGTATTAGCTGAGTTTGGCTTGTTAAATTAAGTTTCTTACAGCTAGTCAACTCTTAAATCTGAAGAAACATGAGAGCGGACAACTAAAGAAATAAAAGCAAGGTTTTTCCTAACAGGATTTTTCAATTTTCCAGCTCTCAAAAAAAAAAAACCAAACAACCACCCCCAAAAAATCAGTGCAGAATACCTACACCAAATAAAAATGCAAACCCAATATAGTCATCTATTTCTTACGCATACAGCTCCACAATAGTAATGACAGAGTGAAAAAAATACTTTAAAGGTGATCAGAGAAGCTGTGGATGCCCCATCCCTGGCAATGTTCAAGGCCAGGTTGGATGGGGCTTTGAGCAACCTGGTCTGGTGGAAGGTGTCCCTGCCCACGGCAGGGGGGTTGGAACTTGATGATCTATAAGGTCCCTTCCAACCCAAACCATTCTATGATTCTATGATCATTCACATGTCCATTTTTGTAGACTATGTAAAAAGGAAAGTTGAAGTATAGAAAATTTCAGAACCCTGAACACAAATAGGACTATAAACACTATATACACGTGAGGCCCTCAAAGTCTTCACTGAAGAAATTGGAACAAGGGTTAATTCATAACTTAGTCTTAAATAACACATTTTAGACCATCAGAGCTCCCGGTGCAGAGATGTATTGTAGTATTGGTGATTTTCTCAGATTACAATTTATAAGAACATTGCAGTGTATCTTCATATGTTAACTATAAGGGATTAAAAACAATTAATCAATAGCTGGGAAAGCATCCAAGAACCATGGCAAAAAAAGAATTCTGTAGCTGAGTGTTAATGGCAAAGTTTAGAAGTGTAGTAAGAATTTCAAAGTGACTCCTGGCAAAGCTTTTAAGTTTTGTTTCTACAGGGGCTTTTTAGTACAAGAATGTACCCAGAGAAAACGATTTATGAATGGTATTCATGTAAACTAAATAATAAAGCACCTTTTGGGACAGTGGATCAATTTGTGCAGGTCATGAGACTGACAAAACAGAAGAGGTCTTTCAGCTCGGATGGCGAAAAAAGGTGCAGTGCAGATGAGACAGAAAGAGGTCAGGCATCTATTCCTAAAAGGCATGAAATGCTGATAGAAAATGCTGTAAAGAAACTGAGACGAAGTTACAAAGAGAGCACTAAGAAGTGACATAGACTGTGGTAAGTCTATGGAGAATTTAACAAAACGGATATTTCAATTTTTTTAACTGGCTGTAACATGGCTGAGGACTCAACACACCTAATTCTAGGACAAGAGTCCTGTGATACAGCCAGCAGCTCGCTAATTGCAAAAATGAGCAGAGCACAGGTTCAAAAGACATAAAGGACTGAAAAGGTTCTATAGTATTAAACAAACATTGAAAAATAGTGCTCCTCAGTAACAGCCATCGAGCCAATTACAAATAACATCATTTGGAACCATGTTTATGAAATAGTATATCATGAAGTGACCACGATTTTTAATCAAGTTGTCATGATGTATTCACACTGCTTCATTGTTGTGATGATGCATTACTGTAATGTTAACAAGATACTGTCCTTTGGAGGACATTCTGCCACACATCACAAGCCTACTGCTACTTTTGATGATTTCACAGTATGAACTCACAGAATCACACTCCTATGCGTTACAGTCTTGACACAATCTATGTTAAAAGAATGTTACTTCTGTTAGTTTAACTCTCCATTGTTTGTATGATCAACTTGTTCATATAAAGTTACTAAACAGTTAAAAATCACCTGAAATTTTTACATGGTCCATCATGACACTGAAATAGTCAGCACACTAAGCTCATCTTATTTCTGAGATCTGTATCTGCAATTAAGGTTTTTTATATTATCAAATTCTGAAAGTTGCAAAGGGTTAGCTCGTCCTGTACTCCCACTGGCTAAAACAAGATTCTAGATTTTAAAAATGCAAAAAGAAAAGAACTGTTTGTATTTTGGAAGTGTCCACATTACCTCCTTATCCTGTAGTTGCTTTCACATGTGAATGATTTCATGAGGTTATTCATGGGAGTTATGATGTTACTTGAGCATTTGCAAGATGCGGACCTCCTATTATTTCATTTTGACATTTTATAATTTAGTTTTTGTCTTTTCACTTCAAAGCAGTATATTTCATTTTAAAACATGACTTGGCTGCACATGCACTGACACATGCTTTAACCATCCTAATACAGACAACTGTAGCTTAATTTTCCTCCTTAGGGTTTTTTTATTCCTGGTTTCTTTCTGCTTTTGATTTTTCCCTGTAGATTACATTCAGTGTTTAACCACAGAACCATGTAATTACAAATACTGATGGTTTTATTGTAGCTGTGTGTCTACAGTGAAAGCGATCCTGTGTATCTAAACTGTCAACTTCTTCACATTTTCTCCAGGTCAAATACAACATATTTACGTGTTAGAATATTAAAAATCTTCAAACACAGGTGGTAATGTATGCAGATAACTTAAAAATGGCATTTAAGTTTCAGCTTATATGAAAACAAACTCGGAGATCTTTCAATGTCCCGCCTTTTGCAAACAAGTGTTTTCTGGTGCTTGGCAACTTTTCAATCTTTTCAGACTTCTCTGCTTTATTCAGTCTTCTTATGCCACATGCAAAAATGTGACAGTGGGAGTGACATGCAAGGACTGAGAAGAGAATATGCCTTTATCAAGAAGCTTATTTTAGATACCAGCACTACCCAAATCCCAGTATCACACTTCAGCACTATCAGTAAAGATGCGACATACTGTACATTTAATTTTAATATTTTGTTCAGTATTGAACAGCAGTAGTCTGAGAATTATTGTTGCATGTAAAATATTTATTTTTACTTCCCAGAGACAAAAGCATCAGAACACGTGGCATTACATTACAAGGCTGTGCTCACCACACCCGTTTTTTCAAGTACTGTCTCACCATCTGAGCTCTTCATGCAGCAGCTACCTAGGACAACTTCCTTACTCTATGGTGCGCACTGCACAGCCTGGGTCTTCAGTCATGCCAATACCCATCTCATTCATTCACTAACTAGTTTCAGACATGTTCATCATAGGGAATTTGTGACAGTTCTGCAATTGTTTCTTTTGGGCAGACAAAATTGGAGCATCTGATGAAATTTGTCAAAATTTTTATGGATATTAATGTCCTGCAGTTGCCAAAAACTTGACTGCAGGCTGTAGATTCAGATGACTTAAATACAATAAAAAAAAAAGTCAGGAGTATAAATAGACAAAACAGAAAATTTATTTCTAAATGCTAGGTCCCATAAAAATTCCAAGTTACAACACGACTTGATAGAAGCTCACTTGCAGCAGTACTGCTCTAAGCTGAAGGGATTGCATAAATCATTGCTCTCAGTACCTCTTTATCCAGATGGTCTTGGCCCTTTAAGCAAGGAAGTTGTATATTTGGTACCCATTGCCATATTTTATTTTACTGGTTTAGCAAGCACATTTGCTGGAAACATGCCTGTCACCTCTGAGGTTCTTAGGAAATTCAGGTTACAGGTGCTCTTCACATCACTTTCAGGGTTGAAATAAGAGAGCTATACCACTAGGAGCAAGCAGCCTGCAGGTGGGCTAAATGTTCTGGGAAGCCATATCCAATGTCCAAGAGAGGTGGAGTCTCAGCCCAAGCTTAAGGAAGGATTTCATGTTTGGTGTACTGAACTCTTCACACAGCTGAGCCTTTTTTCCACACAGTTCCTCTTCCTGAAAGACAATCCTTCCTCAAGTTTACACAACGGCAAAGAACTGCCACTTTCATACCAGGTACCTCTCCCCTTGAGGATCCAGGTGCCTACTCCCTTCCTGAACATTTAAAATCAGCCAGACAAATATTTCTGTCCTTATCATTCATATCTTCAAAGGAGCAGCTCTCAAGGGTAATCACTTGTAATTCTGTATGCAGCTGCAACAATAAAATGTGTATTCTTAATCAGCTCCATTTTATGTGTAAAATTGCCACGACAACGGATTTGTTGCAGCTACACATTCAGCCACAGAAAAATTACAGTTAAAAACAACTGCAAATTCCAGTTTCTCCAGCTCCTTCCAACTTCTGCCTGATCTAGGTCATTACTATTCCATACAAACCTTGCCTGCACAGTGTGCGTGCACAGCGATGCACACATAGAAGTCCAAACCAGCTCCTTAAGAACTTCAAGACTGGCTAAACAAAACATTGCAATGATCAATAATACTTAGACAAAGACCTACAGATGCAAATGTAGAAAAGAATTCAGTTCAAGATAGTGATTGTGCTGAATTCCTCTTCACAAGCTTCTAGACACCAGACTGAAAAACCCTAGCCATGGTAAAACTAAAAGAGTACCAATTAAGATCAAGTAAACAAATAATTAGGTTACTTGATTAAAAAAAAAGTGTAAACTGTAACCTAGACTAATGAGAGCTGAGGGAGATGCTGCTAACCTGATTTACTTTTAAGTTCTTAAAATGTTTCATTAAAGCTTGGTCCAATCCCCTGCGAAGGCCACAGAGCAAACCAAAAAGTGAACGTGTATTGCAGTAGGGTGCAACCAAGACCTCCACCCACCTTGTAACTTCTGGTTTTCTTTCTCCATTCTGATAAGCAGTATCTGCTGAATAATGGCTTTCTTCCACAACTCGCGAAGCTCACGAGGTGTCCGTTTCCTTTCTTCTTTCACTGGCCCAAACGGGCCGTCTTCACACACTGGTTCCAATGGAGACCTCGGTGGAAGTTCACCCAATTCAGAGTAATCTTTAAAAGAGAGCAGCTGTTGTGAACCACTTAGATTTCATGAATAGGTCAATGAAGGGATGCATTTTCAAAGATTGCATATATATACGTACATATATAGGAGACAGCAATGACAAGCAAGGTTTCCCAAATGACAGTTTCAAGCAGGTTTACAAGCTGCTTCTGAATAAGAATCATATGGCCCAAAGCCTGGAACATTTTTTTTTTTTTCCCCTATAACCTGATAAAAACATTTTATCATACGCCAAGACCATGGCTTGCTAATTACAGCTTTACAAGGACAGAACTAAAAAGGAAAAGGCAAGTTAAAGAAACTGCAAAAATACAACCTACGGCTGAAACCTGCCATGATTCAAACAGCAGATCAAATCAAATATAGCACCCATGTAATTTAAAGATTAATCTCTAACCTGTGTTTAACAAAAAAAACACCCACCCTTAGCTGCACAAACACAACACCACCTAAGGCCATACAATAGCATGTTTACTTTAAGAACCAGTAATCATCCAGAAGAGGAGACAGGCACCTACGACATGTTTGCTCTGACTTCTAATTCTTAACCATGTCATAACCTTCTGCACTTTTTCTTTTGGCTTCAGCAGGTCTACCACAAAATGGACCTTTTTGTCAAGCAAGCAAAGTAATTCTAAGAACATTGAAAACACTACAAAAGAAAGTGAACATTAAAACAATCTCAGGCAAATTGAAAAATCTTTTCTTTTTAGGGAAAGGATGACAAATATTGTTTTTAATCAAGTTCTCAACATAAAGATAAGTCCTTATGCTTTGTTTTCTTAATGTCTGCTATGGTATCACTTAATTTTATTGTTCTACACAGCTTCTTTGAAGGCTCAATAGTATTTGATATAACCTGTATCTAGAAGAAAAATTTCTCAATTCACCACCTTTAGAATGAACCTTTAGATAGGTCAAAACCACCTATCTCTTCCTACCAAATCCCAAATGGAAAGCCATTGCAACAGCACTCCTCCTCTGCCAAACAGAATGGCTGGGAAACGTCTGCCCAAGGACAAACTGACCGGTTATGCATGCAAGAAACTGCTTTAAAATCAGCACAACAAAAACCATTCCCAGACTCTCCAGCCAAGGACAAGTACATGGGCGCGTGCTACCTCAAACAGCTCCTGGAGAAGTGACACCCTCGACACACACAACTGTTCTGCGTGGTAGCTCAGTGGTCTGTTTCTTTACCGTTGGCTAGTACAGTGACGGAGTTGCTGAATTAAATACACACACACACACACACAAATTATTCCATTTCGACAAACAAAATAGGAAGCTTTTCACCCCGTCAGAATCTGCTCAGAAAGCCACCATATATTGACTCACATGGTTCACATGCAGCTACTCTTTTCTTGTTCACTGAAAGGCACTCACACAACTAAGCTCAGATGACTAAATAAGAATGGAAATGTTCACAGCTGTTGGCTTCTGCTTTTCTAAGTTTTGTCACTGTCAATCTTTTCCTCTCACAGTCAGAGACAAACAGGATGGGTCCAAAACCACCTGTTTCCTTATACAACTCGTATTTATTTGTTACCACAGTTAAATTCAAGGGCTAAAATATACATACAAAAAAAAAGGCGGTATTTTCATCTAGTAGCACAAATTAAACCTTTACAAACTTGCACTCTGGATATACGTGTGGATAGCCACACTCTGGGTATCTACAGCATTTCAGAGAACAATGAATTTCATGGGAATGTGTATAAGGCAAACAACAAATATTTGACACTTTAAAGGCAACCACCATTTGTTGCTAAGAGAAGGAGGAAACACTGACAGAAGCATTCAAAAATACAGCTGGTTATGAAAAATATCAATGCAGTGAAGAAATTGTGTTACATCCCTTAAAAGAAACTGGGAAACATTCATTAACTTTTTTTCTTTACAGGTAAATGGAAAGACATCCATGGGCTAAGATCTGCAATTATAAAAGAGGTTCAGGTAAATATCATCAGGTAAAGACAGAACACATACTTGATAATCCTCAACTTGTATTAACAATTAAAGGAAAATTATGTTGATTTTATTGTTTTTTTGATGCAACAATGTTCTGTACATATAGTAGCTTTAATGACGATTTTTCTTAGTGCATATAAAAGAACATTATAAGGAAAATGCTCTTCAGGATAATGCTGGTCTTCTACTATCTTAAGGATAATGCTGGCCTTAATTTGCTTGAATAATAAACTTAAAAATAAAAATAACATCCTGAAGGAAAGTTTTCATTTTCTCTAAGGCTGCGTTACATGCACAAAGTAACATCACCATAAAAAAAGGAATTAACAAAAATGGTCACCAAACATTAATGCAAAAAAGTAAAAGTGATCCAGATAGGTACACCCTTATCCACTGTACGCTATCTGTAGTCTATTCACTTCTTACATTCTTACAGCATCCAACACAGAACGCATGTACATCCTTGGGGAAACAATCTCTTCTCAGCCCATGCATCCTCCCAGTGGTTTAAGGATCTGCTTCAGAGTCAGATACATATTCTGGTTTTACGCATGTATGTGTTAGAAGATATCAGACTATTTGCAGAGACAGTTTATGGTTACCCACTTGCAAAAAAGTCAGGCTGCCAAAACACATGCACGGAAACAGATTAAATACATTGCATTCCTAAAGCAAAAAGGAACGTATCCAAGGCCTAAAATATTCCTGTTTTTAACACACACATTCTACTTTCTCAGTGCAAATTTTGTGGATTGGTCTTCAAGTACCAACCTAACAAAGTATCACCTTCTAATTTATTGGTAATGTTGCTCACTTCTCATACTTCAGTGATCAAATTTACTATGGCAACACTTGAACCACTGCAAAGCATCAATTACTCAAGTCCACGGTCCTGCTTCCATTTAGGCTGAAAATTTCTAGTCTGTTACTGACTAACCTGACAAGATCAGTATTCGCTAAAATACGCACAATGCTTAAGGCTATAAAAGAAAACAGAAAGGTTGCAAAAATCTATAGGCTGAACAATTATGATCATCAACCCTACCTCTAGTTCTTCTGTGGAAGAGTCCTAGGCTTGATTTTGCCTTTCAAATGGCAGCTCCTTTTCTATCCTTTCTTTCTTCTTATCACTTATAGACATTTAACAGGAAGTCTAAAGTCTACTCTGATAAAGTGCAACACATTCAAAACCTGCCTTCCCTCCCATCTCCGTGCTGGCATGCAGCAGGATATATAGATACCAAAATGAACCTGTTTAACTGCTCATGTGGCTTGTCTAAAGTTTGCAGAGTTGCATCAGCTGTTTGGCTGGTAAAAGAGGCGGGGGAGGTGGAATGTAATCCCTCAAAGCGAAGTAAAAAACCAGACATTTGGTAAGTCAGCACTAACCCATGTCCATGAATGTACAAGACAACAATCAACAGAGATGCCATTCGGCTTCCAGATCCACAACAGACAACAGCAGAAATACTGTAACAAGAAACTGAGTATTTCATTATTATACACAAACAATCTGGAGGAAAGCAGAGAAAGCAAAGATGCATAGTGGAGCAATTCAACTGAACACAACTGGGAGTTCACATCCCACCGAATCAAACTGCCATGTGTTAAAATCCAAGTAACCCGCAGCCTTCAAAACCTTTATGAGATTAGCCAGTGCACTTAAGCAGGATCTGAACACTTCAGCACACACTGAAAGACTGCTTCCCTGTTCATCTGCCAACCTCACCAGCTTTTGTTGACTCCTATTTCACGTTTGACCTGTGCTCCTTTCAAACATGTTGCTCCCTTCCCTGCAGCTTCCACTTAAAATTCTGCCTCCATAAATGGTACTTCTACAGGCCTACCACGCTTCTACTCTTTAAGGTTCAGGACTGGGCAATCTGACTCAATAACTATTATTACATTTTATCGACACATGGGTTATTTTCCATTTGAAGTTCATACTTGGACTACCCTTCAGAACTACTCTTCTGTGCAATACCCTTCTACAAGTTTGTGGGTCCAAACTAAGTATTCCTTGAGAAACAGTGTACTTCACTGGGAAAGCTTTCCTGTGCTTGTGAGAACTTGTGCAAGGTAATGAACTGCAGATGAAACTGCTCATGAAGCAGATGGAAATATTGCACAAATGTACTAATGCATCCATACATACCTCAGAAGCACTGCTCTGATGCTCCCACCACTTCTACTACCCAAGAAAGACCAAGGCCAGTAGGAACAATGGACTGATACGGAACTTGTACAGCAGATCCATTCATTTATACCCAGCTCTCTGGCTTCACATAGCAGTGCTTCAACCCTAAGATGCAGAGTGTCCCTACACACCAAGAGGGCTAACAAACGCATTACACAAAACTGTCATGTGCAAAAATGACACACAAAACAAAAGTACAAAAGATTATGATGAAAGTATCATGGTATATTGCTACCAGGGACCACACTAAAGAAAGTCTGTAAACAAAAAGCTGGTGAATGACTGCAGTGGTAATTAAAACAGACAATATTTGACTGGTAGTTATATAAACAGGACATTTCATTAGTTCCAGAAGAAGCTACAATGAATATAGAGCATTTGCTGGGATCTGTGGGAGGACATTAAAGTATTCAATCAGCAAGTTATTAAAATGTTGCCTTAAACCTCACTTTTTAGGAAATTTCATTTATAATTGACTAGAAAAAAAATTAATTCATCAATAGTTTATTAATTCATCAAGTTTCTTATTCAATCAATCTCAGTATTAAATAAGGCATTCAAAAAAACAGAACAAAAAAAGGAAACCCACTAAGAGAAACCACGCACACAAAGTAAAAAACAACAGAAATGACAAAACCACAGATTCACCTTTGACCAGAAACTGCAACACTTCACATAGAAAAAAAGCATTTGTTTTATTTTTATAGGAAGCTAATTGGGAGGAGGCTCAAATACAATGCATTATCACCATCCTCACTATGGAGTTGTTTATACATGGCACTCTAAACGCGGTGTTTACCAATCACATCTGCTCTTCAGGGTTAAGAAGTCAGGTAAGGTATGGTGAGAATGCGGATGGAAGAATTCCATTAAGCATTTTATTTTCTGCATTACACTTTTTTTCTTTGTTGCATTTTAAACATTACTGAATTCAGCTTTCAAACAAACAAGAGAAATCTTCCCAGTCATGTAACATTAAATTGTCCAGAAGAAAGGACTTTTACAACACCCTTCGTTCTCTTCAGGTAGTGCAACACCCTCTTTCATATATGAAACAAAATCAAAGAGGAACTGCAAACTTTATAACCAATGATATAATATCCCTATTATTTTACATGGATGTCTGGAATATTTGATTTCATAACAAAATGTGGTAACATGACGAGGAGCCTTCTGTTACCAGAAAGCTTCAGACATGGAATCACAAGAAGCAGTAAGTTCTTCTAGTCTGACATACAACTTAAGGCAACGGCTGAATAAGGAATTCTTGAAAACTGCGTATTTCAACAGAGTTGATTAAAATCAGCTCTGGGAGATGCTTTAGAGTTTGATTTTTCTTTTAAAGCCAAGAGCTTCTTAAAAAGTAATCACTACCTCCAAATTCATCCTGTTTATCAAGCCCTGAGAAACGAACGCCCTGGTATTTCAACGGGCGCAGAAGTCATCACACATTATATGTGGCACTTGCTACTTATAGCCAAGCTCCTATGCTGCAAATCAAGATTATGAGTGTATATTCACTCTGAGAGGGACAGAACTGCATAATCAATTCTACCCAACTGGCTTTATTACAGCATTTACAAAACTAGTCATTAGTTAATTAACAATCATTTTGTTTCTAAAAAAAGAATCATTAAAACAGTATTTGCAATACTATTACAAAATTACTTTAAAAAAAATATTTCTGCTTAAATAATGGAAGAGATATATCCCTCACCACAAAGCACATAAACAGATAGGTAGGTGCTAACCTCAACTGGTTTTAGGAATAACAGTTCTTTAATTCCAAACTTTTCTTCAGCATGTAAGATTTAACAGTTTGCTACCTGTCTGCCAGAGACTGAAACCTAATTCATTTTAATGAATCAATCGAGGATTTTTTCCTGTACAGACACACTTGCACTTTCTAAAAAAATCTTTTTTCTGCAAGGCAAGTTGTAAAATACTGTGTAGTTGTTATAGTTGAAGTTCCTTTTTTTCCTCTGAATCTATTTTCTGAGTACTGCTAAGCAATACCAAGCATCTCATTCCTCTGAATTGCAATTTCTTTCTCTGTTCAAGATGTAACTCCACCCCACTTCCCACCTTAAAACAAATCACCCATTCTCCAACCTAAAACTGATGCAGCTGTTATAAAAACGTGGCTGTTTGCTGCCAGCACACCTCCCGCAGCAAGAAAGTGCATGACCAGCACCATCACTTTCTCACCACTTACTCTATGAAAACAGTTCGCGCCCCTTTTAAATCTAGCACTTGAATTTACTCTGCTGGGAGTTTCTGATGACCTGCAAAACAGTTCTCCCACTATGACCAATTCTGAGCAGTAAATATGTGAAAATTGCAGCAAAAACAGTCCACTGCACAGAGATTCGTACACGCTGCAAATATGCTGCTACGCTGCAGTGCAAGTTAAAGTTTCACGATCACTCTGCACTGATCTAAGTGTGTCCTGCCCCTGAGCAGGGTAGGGGCACCCACCCTCAGCTCCCGGACACGTGCCCCTGCCTGCCTCCCTGGGCCTGCCCCAGTGCTTGGGTAATACTGCCAGTGGGACTGGAAAACTGACCCAACTGAAAGCCACCTTTTTTTGACTGAGCCCATACTTCAGTTGGTTTAAAATGATTACCAAGTTGTTCCCTTCCACCTTTTTACCAGTGAAGACAGAGAACTAGGAAGTCCTAAACTATTTGCATAGCCACAGAATGTGGCTCTTGTTGGAGAGAAGCATGAAGATCTGGCTGCAAGTAGAGTGGGCAGGTATCAAAGTAAAAATAAAGAACTGAAGAAACACTTATTACTGAGACTGTTTCAGACAGTGAGTGGGAGAGCCAGAGTGAATTCTGTGTACTCCACAGAAAGAAAACAGGCCAAAAAAGCTGTAGAAAAAGAGATTAATGAAAACTTTCTTTCAAAAGAAACATAGCATTGTAACAGACTAAAGTGTGATTCATTTCATAAGTGATCTGTGCTCCTCTTTTTCCATACCTCCACTCTGAAGGATATAACACTCATTCCACTCCCACAAATAAATAAAAAAGAAAAATATCAGAGGGTGAGACACAGAGTGTGTCTCCAGGTGGTGGTGGGAGAAACGCTGCCCAGCAGTGCTCGACACCACCCGCAGCAGCACAGCCATGCCATGGGAAGTGGCAAGCAGCAGGTGAGGTTGGACTGTTGAACTGCAGCTTGCTACAATGGAACTAGCATAATTCAACCCTGCAAACCTCCAGCTCCCAGCTGGAAAGCAGTAAAAGTCTCCACAGATCATTTCACCTATGCAGAAGATCCTTTCCAGATCTCCAGACTGGGCGTCAGCCTCACCAGAGATCATCCAGCTGTCTTGCCAGGCAGCAAATTGCATAATGCTTCTCTGATGTGCTTCATCATAAAGTTATGTACAGAAGCAGGGGAAAATAGTGAGGAAAGGGGAAAGTGGCAGCACCCACAAGCAGGAGGTGGCTGGAGGAGGGCCTGCACATGGGACTTCGCTCCCATAACAATCAAAAGTAATGGTTTCCCGTACCCAAGGCTTTATGTTGCCATGAGCACTCACCTTGCCTGAGCATGGCTGGATTGAGTTCACTCCTCAGGCAAGGCAGGAATCTCAACTGGAAAGAAAAAAATGGCTTTCTAGTGTATCTATTTGCAATTCTTTTTTTAACTCTACTGATTTAGGACTGTTTTTCATTTTACTCCTGAACTAGTAAGAAATGAACACCCTCCTTCATGTAATAAAACCCTCCTTTCACATAATGGAGCCTGCAAAACAACCAGCACGCGGTCTGCCTGGTAATACACAATGCAACCACCAAAGCACAGCCAGAAATCATTTGTCTCCAACCAAGCTCCAGGAAATAAAGTTTTAGCTCAAACTACTTCTGAATACCTGCTAGAGAAGTCAAGGATCCAGAAGTGCAAGACAGTGGGACTCAAAATGCTGTCAGTTTCCCGTGGGAACTCAGGACACTAGGCATCTCTGAAGTTCAGAGTCTCACAAGATTAAGCTCAAAAATGTCTTTTTTTTAAAAAAAAAAACTTTCAGTAAACACACCTTTATATCCTGCTGTGTTAACCACACAGAGTGGCAATGAACATGATGCATCTTGAGATTCAGCTCAGCACTTGTCTATACAAATGGAATCACAAGTGTCAGGATCTAGATCTTTGTGTATAAAGCTTAAAGTTCTCTCTGTTTCTTGTGACAGCTTATACATGCGTATTTACTGATTACAACCCAAAGAAGCTGCAGCCACAGAGCAGTTTCATTTTGTTTTACTGCCAGAAATGTTCCAGGAGATGCATGAAAACCCAATGGTAAAACCCAATACTTCTTATAAATAATAATTTAAAAAAACCCTAACTCTGAGTTTTCTCCCTCTGTTCATAAACTGAATATGTACATTGGAACAAAAACAGAAAAAGAAAACAAGAGTGAAGAAAAAGGCCAGACATTTTAAATTGCTCCTCCTATTAATAGCACTTCCTGTTTTCCATTTTGGCCACACTTGTTTCTCCAACTATTCTGCTTATCCAGCTGTAGGTTGTTAAGATTGTATCTTGCAGCTATTACGTCTCAGAGGAAATACTTGGATAGGCAATCTAGGGTTTTTATTCCTATTTCATATGGGAGGTTTTGTGGCTTTCAAAAACAAGTAAGACTATTTCCAACCACAAAAAGATGCATCAAACTTGCAAAAACAGTAGCTTCCACAGAAGAGCTGAGATTGAACAGCCCCTTCATAGGCCTTCAAGTGCAGGAGGATGTTTCACATGTATGTTTACACAACATGCTCTTGAGATCACTCAGTTTTGAAGCATACTGAATTCGAGAGGCATGTATGCCTGTACACAGCTTACCCCACAGTAAGTGCACTTACACTGCAAGAAATGCATTAATGACAGAAACACTTGTTGTGTGCCGTGTCCAGTTAATCAAAGTCTCTCTTTAAGATGCAACAAACACATCTCAGTGACATTAAGATGGTTACATTCCAGTACAAATACAACAATATACTGTTTCCTGTCACTTTCTTATACTATGGCTTCACAGATCAGTCAGAAAGTAGAGCTTGCAGAGCTCAAGCTGTGAAATTCAAACTTTAGTGAGCCAGAGACCACTATCTACAGACAAGCTTCTCTGAGGCATTTTTGGCCTCAGCACGTGCTGTACAATCTGGCTCCCACAAAGCGAGATGTATAAAATGGTGCACCAGCATGCTCACGTGCAGCGATTTTTTTCTCTAGTCTGTGGTTCTTTAGCTCTACCGAGTTTCAGGAAACAAATATGAGACCAGCAGATAACCATAGCTCAAGTGGCAAAGAATCACAGACTGGAGCAGCATACATGAGGTTGAATTCAGTCTGGTATGAAGTACACACTACAGAATTTAACTAAGATCATAAATCTATGATTTTACAATTCTATAAAAGAAAACTAAATTTAATTTCTTCTGCTAGGCCTGGACCTTTCCAGTCCATAGTTCTATACTCCAGCATGGAAAGATGAAATAGAAGCATCACACTTTCTTCAGAGCCTTATTTGGTGACGTATTTTTTCCCCATAACTCATTAAAACAGTATATATAAAAATAATTTCTGCTCTGGTTACTTAATTTCACACAATCATAACTATGTTATGTATGAAGCTGAAAAATAAAAACTTAACAGCTTGGCATGACCAAAAAGTAGGTGGGAAACCAAAAAAGAGTACAAACAGAGCACTGGGTAAATATGTCCACCGGGTAGACAAACTGATTCGCACTCCAGAGATTATGTTCACTAACAACACTCATGGGAGCAAATAAACAAAGGCTTTACCATCATAGCGACTGGGAGAATCACTTGCTTTCTGAGGGGTTGCCACTCGCAGGAATATCTGTTGCCTCCACGAATGCCGGCGAGTCCTTACAGGGCTGTCCGCACCAACGGCCTGCTGGCTGTGTTTGGATTCATAGTCACTGAAATTGCAGAACACAGAATAGCTTGTGAGTAGGTTACCTGCATATGCTAGTAACAGTGACACAGTCTCCAGCGAACACAGTAACACAATCAATTAAGGAGTGCAGTGTGCTGTGCACATGCTGGGTCGAGCTCTAAGCGTTAGGTGGGTGAAGCTTACTTTGTGGCAGTAGGCTCATACAAGGCTGCAAACATCACTTAGGTTCATCAAAATGGGCTGGCAGCTCTATGCAATCTGCTTTCTGAAGTTTTAATTAATTTTCAGCTTGCTTTGCAGCAGCATGTTACACATAACATGTTAAAATCACATACACCATAACATATCTTTACCATTCTGCTATATAACCACTACCCACAAAATCTAGCAACTCTTCATAGGAGACACACAGCACTGCTGAAGTCTTTTATCAGCAAACATCAAGGAGCTTTATAAAAACCAACTAAACTTCTAAACTTCTGTGAGCAGGGTATGTAATCTACTCCTTCACAGCACAGACTTGGAGCAAAACTTTTAACCCTTGTGTTCACAAGTCACCATCTGACATAAGCAACGAAGTTGGGAAGAGTGTCCAGGTACTTAGACGTTGTTCCGTTGATGTAACCCACAAATTACACACAGAGGTTTTTATTCAGAACACTAAATGAACACGTGAGCAGCAGTCCTGTTTTTCCTACTAAAAATCCCACTAATGACTTTCACCCATTACATCTTTATTCATTGCTTTAATCCAGCCATTGGCTAAATGGTTGCACGAGTGTTCAAGCTGAAAGAGATGAATGAACTTCAAATTGCTCTGGCAGCAACTGGGAGTAGCATTTTACAGGCCATCCTCTCCTTCCAATTTGAAGACACTGACATTGCTTAGAATGAACTATACATATTCTCTTAACTGAAAACTGCTAATACAGTCCTTTGGCAGGAATAATCACAGAAGTACATAGATGGAACTTGCATGACCATTACAACATCCAAATGGCTAAGTTCTGCAGTCTTTACAGGAGAGGAGTCTGGGATAGCTCCATCCCTTTGACAGCAATCACATGCAGAATACATGCAAGTGAATTGTTGCACAAGTCAGTTTTTGCAAGTGCAAGAAGCATTTGAAATATTTCAGACAAAGAAACCTTTGAAAATACAGTTTTACCTCCAGGCTTAAAGAGAGAACCCTACCTTGTTGTGCTCCTAAAGTCAGAGGTGTTATTTTCATCTACAGGAGCCAGAAACTTTAAGAAATTTGGCACAGAGGAGGAAGAATGAAGCTTTTTCCTTAAGGCAGTACGGTAGGAGATGCTGAGAGTGCAGTTGGGAAAAGTATAGTTTAGAACAAAGAAGTATAAATCCACAGAATAAAAATAATACATACTACTAAGTTTCAAAGAAAAAACAGGTAAGTACTGAAGGCATGTATATCAAGGAAACCACTAAAACTGCTAACAAGGTGCTACTTTGAAATACATATTTGTTTAGGCAAATCAACATAAACAAATGTACTTCCAGTAAAGTTGTTATTCTTTGCTACATCCCAAGATTTTTAGTGCATGTATCAAGTAAATTCCTTTAATCTAATAAGAACTGACATAAACTGCATCACTGCACATTTGCTTAAGTATCAGTTTCAATGACTGACTAAGTTTGGGGGCAAAAGGTTAGGAAAAGCTGACACTGACAATAATTGTGCTTGCAAATGAAAAATAAGACTGGCAAAAAGCATTTTGTAAAGCATTATCGGGGCTTTATTCAGGCAAGCTTGGAAATTTTAAGTTAAAAGCTGAGCTTTCTGATTGATCGTTTAGGATTGAGGCTCTATTTATGAAACAGACAGGAGCACTAATCAAATGTCATCAACAGTCTTTTGGCCAACGTACCTCTGCTCTTTCTTTTAAAATAACAAGTCCCCAGCATACTCAGAAGAAGGTTAATAGAAGGAAATGAGAACAACTCAGTTAATGAAAAGTTTCTGCATGGAATGAAAACTTGGAAAATTACTTGGCTGATGATACCAGAAGACCTTTTTCGCGGCAGAGTACACAAGAACAGGCGAGTAGGGGAATTTACTCCTGAAAAACTAAGTTTAAGAAAGAACTGCTTCTGATAAACCATCATGACATATCTGGATGGCATTTAGTGCTGTCTCATGAAGATGTGAATGGGCATGGGGTGGATACTCTGGGATAATCACTAGCATGAAGTGAAGCCATTCTTTAGTAGCTAGTACTGAGCACAAAGATGATAAGGCTTTAGCATGGTTTGCCCTGCAAACAGGTTTCACCTACAATCACATTGTAAATCCATCACAATTACACGGTAATTTCACTTACAGAATACAATCAACTTGTGCAGTTTGACTTTATTGATTTAAACTCATTAAGCCATTTGATAGCACCATCAATTTTCGATTTCAGTCTTGTTGCTTTGAAGTGCGTATCATATTGAACCTCTATGACAGGGAAAGGGAACGAGAAGTGGCTACTGTGTGAGCAAAATCATTACCAAATCCACTTGGAAAAAAAATCTACTTTTGAGAATTTAACCTTCAGGATTAAAATAAAGAGTAAAGAGGACATTGTAGACTCACATTTCCTCCCCTGAGCTATACCATACCTCCGAAGTGAAGCTAAATTTTAAAAGATGCTAATTAGTATTCAGCAAATACAACTGAAGGAAATAATAATATTGCTGAAATAATAAACAGCAACAGCAACAAAAATTGCTTGCCAACAGCCAGTGACTGTTCATAATGCTTCCAAGGACATTCGGTCTCATCACCCTTTTGAGCTAAAATAAACAGTTTTCTTTCAAGAGGTTACAAAGGGGTTTCACAGTTCAGATTTTTAGGGAGTTACTGGTTTCAGGTCCTCAGGGAAATGATGGGTTAATGTCATTTTCTCAACGTTCTCTATATGTATTTTTGTTCTAAGAAAGGAGGCACAGAAAAGTATCATTTGATATGACTCAAAGTAACCAAGGCAAATTCATGAGCTGGTAGGTTGGGGTTTTTTGTGTTTGTTCTTGGTTTTTGGTTTTGGAGGGAATGGGAGGGTGTAGAGGGGTTTGTTTGTTTGTTTGTGGTTTATTTGTGGTTTTTTTTTGGTTTCTCCACAGTCCTGATACTTCTTGCCCCACTTAGTTAACATAGTCAAATTGCCTTTAATGTCAGGCACGACAGAATATTAATATATTTCTGTGTTACCACAAACAAAGCACAACAGAACTGAATGATTCAGGAGTGACAGAGTGAGCTGGATCACAGGTTCTTGGCAACTTTTCCCTCACACAATGTAAGCAGTGCTGCTGTCTGCTGCATAACAACAAGCTGCTTTGGAGCAATTGGCTCTAAAGAAAGTCATGTGCCCATGTGTCTGAAAGAATTTTATTTATTAAAACAAAAAATTATGTCAATAGCAGCTCTATGTTCAGTAGTGGAGCAGTTACAGAGTTCCCTCTCCCACATCAATCTACCACCTTTGGACTATATTAAATTATTTTAATTATTTACATTATAGAGCTTCATATTTATGACATGGTAAAACAAACTCTACCCCAAACTATATACAGGTGCTAGCTCACCTCTTTTGTGCAAAATTCCCACTTTGTTCTCCACTTGAATTATGCCTTAGATACTTAAAAAAGTTGGGTGAAGAGGCCGAGGGATTAAGACGAGCTAGATTATGAGAACGCACAAGTTGACCTGGAGAACTTTTAGATGCGCCGACAGATGTGTTCAGACCGTATAGTGGGATTCCAACCAGAGCGACGGAGTTGAGGTAGCACAAAGAACAAAACACAGTAAGAGAGGAAAGGTGGGAGGGGAAAAAAAAAAAGTGAAATCCCTTCTCTAACCTTTGAAAGGCACCTGGCATATATAAATGAGCCATTTCCTATATTTTTCACAGTTAATGCAGTAACTGTAAGAGGCTGAACATTTTAACCCAATCAGCAAGTCCCAAATAGACACTTACAGGCTTTAGAAAGGCATTTCAGCACATGACTAAATCTAAACTCCCAATAAACTGTCACTGACACACTCCTTTCTTATCCCTCATACGTGCTTCCCCTTGGTTTCCACAATAAAGTCAGTCATATGATCAAGAGTTCTAATGGATGAGAAGTGAAATGTCACATGAACTGCATTTATTTCTTTATGAGTTCAGATAAGCTGTTCAAATAACACTCATAAAACTTACAAGATTTGTTAAAAGTCTATGTTTCCAGTGATTTTTAAGAACTCTAAGTATACTTTTCTTATAAGTTTTCCATTTCCCCTGGTTCTGTACTTTTGCTATGAAAGGGAAGCAACAGTGATTTCTTTTTGGTTTGAGTTATGTGAGGGAGCAGGCACGCACAGATTGTACTGAAAATTACATGATCAAACTCAAACACAAATAACCAAGGAAATGAAAAATACACTTAATTTCTAGCAACATTCCTATAGCAAGCTAGGAACTAATTGAACAAGCAGCTACAAGCATCAGGCAACTCCCATGAAGATAACAGACCAACAACACAAGTCCTAAACTGAACTACAAAAGTATTCTAGTATTTTAGAATTGAAAAGGTTCAAAGAAGGGACAAAAAGGCAGCCCAGGTTATGTTTCCTTTCAAATACCGTAACTGTCTTTTTTTCACTGTCATCACCTATTTCAGGCATGTTCATTTACTGCCCTGCCTCCTGCAGGGAAAAATGAGCTGGAAGACATACAGACTTCCTACAGTCTAACTTGCGTAAATGAGCCGTTTTGGCAGTAAAACAGAAGCTTACAGACAGAAATGTTTCTATAGTAATTGGAAAAAGCCAGATAGAAGGAGGGAAAAAACCTGCCATAACATTAAGAGGAGACTTTAGAGATGTAGAGGCAGGCTTTTGAAGGAGGACAGCTTGAAGAATATTAGCATGAAGGCAAGCAGTAGCTTGTTTTTGCAAGCAAAATCTACATAGGCTCCTTGAAAATTTAGACAGGAGCCTCACTTCTATCGATCATCAGGCAATTTTGTTGAAGTCGCACATGAATTCACCAACTAGCAAGGTTTTCAGCATCTCAAATGCTACTGGATTTTCCCTCTATAAATTGACAACAAGAAGTAGCATTTATTTACACTGCTTGCAGATCAAAACAACGAAAATTGCTGAATATTGCTTGCAAAAATATAATCAAACCCCTTACGGGCAATCCTATGTTGTGCTTACGCTTAGTTTTGTGACATACCTTGCGGAACTACACATCTCACGCTTTCTCTCCCTTGTGGGGCACACAGGCCTACAAGTGTTTTTAAACAGAATACCTACAAACAAGAGTGACACACTGCTGCAACACGTCTTATCCATTAAGAGGACATACCTGGTGCGCAATTATCATCCCCAAATATGCCCTCAACAAATGAAATCATAGCCTGTTTTTAATAAGTCTTACTTTCTTTTGTGAGGAGTCTCTGTGCTCACTGAGTGATACCTCATAAGTTTCCTCTGGGGAGCAGACGGCGATGTTTCAACAGGTACCAGAGGCTCCTGGCTTTCTGTTGGTAAATGACTCAGTGTGTTTGCTCGCCTTCGAAAGCTTTGCTGAGGTAAAGTAACAGACTGCTCAACAGGAGAATCATCTGCATCGCCGGAGAGATCACCCACTGATCCACTGGTCTTGACAGTGTTCTCTGTAGGAAGCGTAGGAAGTCCATCTTTCTCCTTTTCACACAATGGGGGTTCCTAGCAGTGCAACAAATGTTATCAATATGTGGATTTAAAATCTGCCTTTGAGGTTGCAGTTCCATGTCATTATTCACATCCCATAGAGACCTGCTTCAAACTTGCAGATTTTTAGCTCAAAGAAAGAATCTTTGTTATTTTATGTCTTTGTTATTAACCATTTAGGTCAACAAATCACAGTCTCCATTTTACAGAGAAAAAGTCATTTTGAGAGTAATTGTATTTTACAGTATGTTGAGTGCAACTCAGAAGAAATGGGGTCAGAACATAGCAGACAGGTCAGGTTTGGGTAACAGTGACAGCAATGAAAAGGGTGTCATTGCAGTATCATGCATATTTAGCACCCCATCTAACAATACAATGTTCCTCTTGTCTATCTGAAGATTCACACAAAGGACTTTAATCCTATGAGTCAATGCCTGTTTCAGTCCAAAACAATGCATTTTTCTTCATTCCTCACTTCCTGCACTTCCTGCATTCATTCTTTCAAAAACATCAGCAGAAAGAGCAGACTCTTGATTACCTGAAGTCAGGAGAGCACAGGTGATGAGGCACTAGAACAGACTCCAGAGCTGTATCCAAGTCTGTCGAGTGCTAGGCTGCCTCCAGGGAAGAAGACTGGCTTCTTCTGTGCTGTTTTTGTATATTATTTTATTCAGACTACAAGCTTTCTAACCACACAAAGGGGGAAATTACTCCACTTCTTGTTTTAGTTCTATGTTTCTTATGAATGCAATTCTGCATTCATGGTATGTACTTTTAAGGCTGAAACAAACCAGATTAGGATCAGCAGCATGGTAATTACTGCATTTGTTCTGCTGCATATTGTTGCAAGATTCAGATGTTGTTATATAATATTTTATTTCACATACATAGACTCACACAATACGACACATACATACAAAATATATGTTTACATACAGTACAAGGCATTTCTAATTCAAATGGAGCCCCAAAGGCACTGCTCTTTTTTATAACACGGGGAACAGAACGAAAGGCCTGAAGGCAACTTGAAACTTCTGGAGAACAGAAGCACAGATTTACTGTGAGTCCCATCTTACCAAAAAAAACCACTGGAAACCTCCAGTGAAACTCTACACATAACAGCATCTTACATGTCATCATTGTATTTACATTTGATTGCCATTTCTTAGCCTGAATCTCTGTCACCAGAATTAATTGGGAAATGACTTTCTTAAAGTTGTCCCTTGGGCGATTCACACACATTCTAATGTTACGTATAAGAAAAATGATATGGGTAACCAACGTGTAAATTCTAAAACACTTAAAAATTGTTTCAAGTTGGGGAAAAAAGAGGAAAGGCAGTCGCTGATCCAAAAGGCTGCCTGCAATGGATACAGCCCCGTCACCCTCAGAAGGGCTTGGCACAGGAATAGAGACACACTCTCTGGATCAGCAAGTGGCAGCAGGACTCTAACAAGTAGGAAGAAAAGTACACACCTATCCCCCTTACTCTGTGATACTGTTTTTATCACACTGTTCAGCTGTTCTGGGGTTTATTTCTTTTCACACACCATCAGTTAGGTTGTCTACTCCCCAAAAAATAATCAAAACAAAATGCAAGCTACTACAACAGAACAGTTCTATGAACAATTGGCAACCGCATGACACATCTGACTAGTTGTTTCAGGGAATATTATCTGGAGTATTTAAATACATACGTTCACTCCAGGCTTTACTTACTCTGCTTGTGCTGATGGAGGTACTGGACATGGAGCCATCCAAATCCACAGCACCCAAATTGTCCAGTGGACCTCTGGCTTTATTGCCCTGTAGACATAAAGCACACCAGCAGTTAAGATTGTAACGTATGGGGCATACCAAAAAGACAGTTTTGTAGCATACTCAGAATCTTTAATTTTCAAAGACAGCATGAAACTTAATTTTCTGAAATGCCTAAGAATAGCCTTTGCCCTGTGAGAAACAGAGGCCTCCTTCAGAACAGTCACTGACACTTTAAAGGATTCTGTGGAATCAAGGAATTCTCACGGGCAATGATGTGCTTTCCATGGTATGTACACACATGTACTATAACTACTATTGAAGTACCTTCTGTATTCCAAACAGGAAATTTTCACATTAGGTACTTCTTACAAAGATACAATAAAACAAAGAGGCTGTCTATTACAAAGGACTAAAATCCATACAAGTTTAATACACAGCAAAATATAACTTCCAGCATTACCATTTCAATGCCTACAAATCAGAAAGCATAAATATTTTCATATAATCTGTTCAACTAATGTTTTTATGAACCAAGAGAAATATCAAGAAACTTACTGATGGATTCTTATGTACTAACACAACTATGGAACTTCTATCTTCCTAACCTTAAATGGTATAATTTTTTTTATGTTCTGAAGTTAAGGCTTATGTTCTTTCTGAACTGTTCTTCCAGGCAAAACATAAAATGTTATCATTATCCACAATAGTGACTATTCTCTCCCTGAAGATCAGACAACATGTTTCGCCTCAGATATGATCAGAATCAAGAATTTCCATCAAAACAGTCATGACAGTGAAAATGCAACCAATATACAGCCGTGCTTACGTGGAAGACAGTTTATGTCAGTCAAGACAAACTGGTAAAAACTAGAACAGTAACTACTATAGTTAATGTAACAACGCTAACATTATGTTTCACATACTTCTGTTTCATATCCTGAACACACCCACAGCAGCATTTTATGGGAGAGAACTAGAAATGCTAGCTGGGAAGTAATAAGGTGAGATATTCAACTAAAAACCCTCTCTATATGCATAATTATAACAGGGAGAACATGCTTTTGCCATCATTTGGTTCATGAGAACAGGTTAGATATGATGTCCGAAAGACAGTTTTGAAAGCCCAGCTTTGTCACTTCAAGTTGCATGTCTAGATCTTGATTCAATTTAACTGTTCGCTGAAGAGAAATGAGAATGCCCAATTTTTGTTCCTTAATCTTTCTTGTTTGGTATTCTGTCAAACTCTTTCTCTTTCTTTAAAAAAGGGAGAAGGTCTGGGTTTTTCAGTCCTTTGTCAATCAGAAGTCTTTCCAAGTCTCCTATTCTTTTCCTCAGACTTTTTCCATGACGTGCAAAACAAAGAATATTTGAATGAGAAGACACTCTGTAGGTTTAAGTAGTGCTTAAATTCGACATCTGATTTGTTTTCTTAACTGCTGCTGTATACTTTCAGTAGACGTTTTCAGTCACCTATTCATGATAAACATTTTCCCAGCATCACACAGGAGCTCAAGTTTTTCCCCACTAACAGGTACTGCCACACACTGTTTACAAAGAATTTTACCTTATGTGATCTTGCATAAATGCCTTCATATTCTCAGTGCCTTCTGAAGTTCTTTATGCTCCTCACTTTCAAATAAACCCTAGCATTTGAAAGTTCAGATGCCCCATTATTCATCAGTTCTGTGTCACTAATAAATACTATCTCATTGGGAATGCTTAGTCAGTTCCCAAATCATTTCCTTCTACATAAAGCGAACAATTATATATATTTTTAAAATTTTCTAAATCCATAAGAAAAACAAAACAATGGTTGCTTTTCGTAAGTTCTCATGCTCAACTTCATATCAATTTTCTGAACTGCTTATAAATACTATTTTTTATCTAGCAATTAGTTGACTTCTTCCAGGACTTGGTATTCTCTCTACAGAAGCCCTGCTTTGTTTTGTCTTCTTCTCACATGTACACTCAAATATTTTTGTTACTCTGCGTTTAATAACCACTTGGCTACAACCTGGAAGGATAACGAGTACGACTTTTTATCATTCAAATAAATAAAACAACGAAATTATGTTCAGAGGCAATAAACATGAAGATACTCACACGTGACAAAATACTTTCAAATGATTCTGTCAGAGATCTTTTTGCTTTGTTCTTTAACATATCCAATCTGAATCTCGGAGCACTGCTGGGCACTTCATTAACAGCATTCTCAGCAGGGGGTTGTGAAGTCTGCAAGTGTTTGAAAACATAAATGTGAAATACTCAACAGCATGGAGCAGAATCTCAGTGAACAGTCTGAAGACTTCTGTAACCTGAATCAATACTTTCTCCTGATGTCCTTGGCTTTTTATGCCTTTTTCTCTACTGATACTTTTACTGAAGTTTAACAAACTATCCTAACATAAGACTAGGAAATGTGTTGCGTGTAGTAGCACGCTTCAGAAGAATTGCCATTTTGATAGGGAATAACGGCTGTGTTGAAAAATTTTCTTCAATGACAAAGTACAATTGTACAAATTCTAAATGTTTAAGTGTAACAGATTAGAGATTTCTCATGGATTTACTGTTCTTCAACCCAGAAATTAATCAAAATTGATGATGCTCATAATTAAGAAGAACTGATAAGTGTCTCCATTGTATTAAAATGGGGCTTTCTAAGGGCCAGGAAGATGCATAGCAATCTAACTCTTCTATATATTTCACCAGTAGAAATGCTTCCACCTTACAACTGACAGTCTATGGAGAGTTTTGCTTTTTAAATAAATATTTCAGTCCATTTTCAGTGCTTGCGAAGACTAGTGTAGTGAATACAAAAATGACACTAACATGCAAATATTACCATCCAAACCTAACACCTGCAGTAGAAACCAGAGCACAGTTTTCAGTGTTATTTTTGGGGGCTCATCCTGAGGCCGACAGGCATCATATCCCTCTCTACCTGGTCCTAATTACAGATATCTGAATGCTTGATCTATGTAACTATTGGTACACGGGCAGCTGGATAGAACATCACCATCATCACCAAATAGTCCTGTCCAGACAAAATTTTAAAGCATCCTATTTCCAGTACAACAAAGTTACAGGCTTCTGTATTTTCTTTTTACCTTCACTCATACTCAAAGGGCAAATCATATGTTGTTGCTTTTACGTTCTTATGAAAAGACACTTATTCTGAAGGTCATTTTTGTTAAATAAGATTCACTTACTAGTATCACATTTATTTTTTTCTCCCTTGATATAAATACTAAAAAAAAAGACTGATGAAAAGCATGAAAGTGAACATGTTGCAGAAAAGAAGGGAACAGGGACATCAGGATATCATGGGTTAATGATTGCCAAGACAAAAAATACTGCCAGAGTACACGTTCAAAGGTATCTGCCATTACACAGCTCTGGAGGTAAATTATCTGAGTAAATATAAAATGTTATGCTAAGACAAATGATGGACTGAAGGCAAGTCAACTCTGTTCTTAGAGCACTGGCATCTTTGCAAGTGTCAGATTAACCAATTTTGGTTCCAGGAACTGAGCAAACAGACTGCAGCAGGCCTTGGGAATTTTCAAATCACACTGAAGACAGATTAAGATATCATGTTGCTTTGCATATCCCTTTTTCAAAGCCATTAATGACTGACAACTATCATCTGGCAATAGACCAAATAAAAATATTTCAGGTATGATGATAGAGGACCTCAGGCAATGTTTCTTCCTGTCATGCCATAACTACAATGCTTTTCTCTTAAAAACATATTTCTGGTGAGATGTCGAAGACAAAAAAATCAGAGAATGAAATATGCAAAGCCTTCTCCCTGCCTCCTCAGGGAGGTAAATAATTAGCCAGTAAGCCAGAAACGAAGAAGAGATTAACAAAGTGAACAAATAGTAAATGAAGACTTGCTGCTATTTCTCCTATTTCTTCAGGGGTCTAATTACTCTCCACATATTCATTTGCTAGTTTATATCACAAAAGCCAACAGCAGTCATCACAATCGAATTATCATTATTGACTTCAGCAAGGCTTTTGACACCATAACATCCTCCTAGGGAAGCTCAGGAAGTATGGGCTGGATGAGTGGTCAGTGAGGTGGATTGAGAACTGGCTGAATGGCCCAGAAGGTTGTCATCAGTGGCACTGAGTCTAGCTGGAGGCCTGTAACTAGCGGTGTCCCCCAGGGGTCAGTACTGGGCCCAGCCTTGTTTAACTTCTTCATCAGTGACCTGGATGAAGAGTTAGAATGTACCCTCAGCAAGTTTGCTGATGACACCAAACTGGGAGGAGTGGTGGATACACCAGAAGGCTGTGCTGCCATTCAGTGAGACCTGGATAGGCTGGAGAGTTGGGCAGAGAGGAACCTGATGAGGTTCAACAAGGGCAAGTGCAGGGTCCTGCACCTGGGGAGGAACAACCCCATGCACCAGTACAGGCTTGGGGCTGACCTGCTGGAGAGCAGCTCTGTGGAGAGGGACCTGGGATTGCTGGTGGACAACAGATTGACCATGAGCCAGCAGCGTGCCCTGGCTGCCAAGAAGGCCAATGGCATCCTGGGGTGCATTAAGAAGAGTGTGGCCAGCAGGACGAGGGAGGTTCTGCTTCCCTTCTACACTGCCCTAGTGAGGCCTCATCTGGAGTACTCTGTCCAGTTGTGGGCTCCCCAGTTCAAGAAAGATGAGGACCTACTGGAGAGAGTCCAGCAGAGGGCTACGAGGATGGTGAGGGGACTGGAGCATCTCTCCTACGAGGAGAGTCTGAGGGAGCTGGGCTTGTTCAGCCTGAAGAAGAGAAGGCTGCGAGGGGACCTTAGAAATGCTGATAAATATCTTCTGGAGATATTCAAGACCCGCCTGGACGTGGTCCTGTGCAGCCTGCTGTAGGCGGGGTTGGACCAGATGACTCACAGAGGTCCCTTCCAACCCCGAACATTCTGTGATTCTGTACCAGGCAGCAGTGGTGGGACAGCAAAGATTTTTAAAAGAGTCAAACCATTGTAACTGAAAGTTTCCAGAGAATGGGTGCTGATCCCCTTTTAAATACAGACCTCCTGGAGATGTCTCAATTTCGTTAGACACAAACCGCGGCATCCAAAATCATTAATTCCTTTTGAAAAAAGTCAACTGTGCTGTATAAATAGCCAGTTAAACGTCAGTGATGCCACCTGATACAGAATGAAAGGCAGCTCAGCCCTTTGGAAACTGATGACAGTCTCTGCTGCTGTTCTGCAGCAATCCTCCTCAGCTACTCCTCCTTGAGGCCACTTCAAGGAGTGTGGTTTGCACACAAGACATAACTTCCAGCTATCAAAAAGATGTAATAGTCTTTATCAAGGATCAGATGCAATGTGTTGTCAGGACACTGACTCACACAGACAGACAGTGGGATGGCAAATGCCACAGATGAGCTAAGAGCAATTACTAATTCATTATGTATTCTCTCACATACATTGAATTTTCATTATAGTGACAAGAAACAACCAAATTAGTGGTCTACCTTGCTTGCATCTCTGTCTCCTAGGCCTGAAATCAGACTGTACTGGGTACCTCAAAACCTGAGATATGCCTGTTTTGGTGCATGACGATAGCCTATGAATCATAAACAAAACCAGCGTTCACCATTGTCAACAGTCTGAAGTTCCAAAATGCCAGTGATGTAAATTTGCCTTTGGACAGATATAAACATGGAATGGAAGATTTTTTTTCCTGGCTCCTCCCTACATGAACTAAAACTGAATGATTACTTACCTGTTTTGCCTCTCCAACATGAACATGGTCCTTCTGTTTTTCTTCATACATGTTTCTCAACACAGAGATAACCAACTCATTCTCTTTTTGATCATTTCTTGGTCTTAATTTCTTTAATTGAAAACATCACAAGCAATTTAATTACACATTTGTATAACAGCAAATATTTACTCTTTTCATTTTGTCACTGTCAGCACGTCGCTGCTGTAAGAACAAGTTTAACTTGGTTAATGCTACCACTCCAGCCCACCAGAGGACACCAGAGTCCCAGGCAAAGCAGCAACACAGCCAGGGAAATGCTTGCCCTCACTTCATACATGACAGAATTTACAGGAGATAAAGGACAACTGTAGAGGTATCCAATTGCCACAAGGAAAACAAAGACTTCAAAAAACATTTTTGACAATTTGCTTTTGATGAACACTGTAGTTCTGAGTCTGTAGCACACGTGAAGTAGTGTCTTGCAGTTATGATGAATAACACTTCTCCCAGAAATCCTTCTCATGGGACATTTCAGTTCGGGGAAATGACATAGGTATTTTAAAATCAGTGCACAAGGGGAACACATTTGTCTCTGCTGCATTCCATTTAGAGCTGAAGTTTTGTAAGAGAAAATGTTTTTAAAACAATTTAGTATAGAATTTCATCCCAGAAACCTGACTTTTGTAAAGCATATGCTGTTTTAAGCCTATTGATGTATTGCAGAGGGTACAGTATGAATTAGCTAATGCCAAGGTGGCACATCAGATTAATAAAAATGTTCTTAGAAATACAGTTACCTAAAAATGCAAATCCTGGTTACAACATATGTAAGAATGCGACAACTAAAATTTCAGAAAGTTCAACTCAAAAAATCAGCTGAAAAAGACAAGCAGGAGAGATGTACTTTACCCTTGGCTTTACCACGTTAATCGTTTGCAGACTCTCACCAGAAGCAATTAAAGGTTTCCTGTGACTACTACAAGCTTTAGACCGTTAAAACATGTGCAGAATACTAAAAGACAGCAGTGCCAGCTAGCTCGTGTATACTAAGAAATTATTTAGCTCATGGAATCTCTCCCACAGAGTAACTTCCAAATTTGGTATTGGATGATAAACTGCCACATCGAAACACACAAAGAAACTGAAATGACTCAAGAGAGGAAGGAAGCATTATTTTTAAAAAAAGTCTGAAATTTCCTAATCTTCAATAGTGTGCCAAGCCCAGTGACATTTCCTACAACATTCACCGTCTCTGTTAAATCCAGCTATGCTTTCCTCTGCGCTAAAACAGATTTCATTTTGACAAATATGAAGATCTGGGAAAAACTTTAGGCAGGAAATTTTCTGATCTGGGAACGTTGATTTGTTTTGGTCAAAGTAATAGTTGAATGTTCTCACAGTACAAGTTACTGCCTTCACCCACAAAAAAATGTGTGTGATTTTACTCTGTGAGAAGTCAACACTTTCATGGAAAACAAGTAGCATTAGGGGAAGAAAAACGAGTAAAATAAGCCATTTTCATCAAAAGACAAGTTTTCAACAGCTCTAGAAAAATAATGAAATTGAAATTTAAGTTGCAGGTGATTAACAGTCTATTAAATAAAGATAACAAATAATTCACAAAAAAAGATAAAAATAACTTCAGTGCTTAACACTTACGTTTGCAAAAAACATCAATTGCTTTAAAATATTGTAGGAAACAAAGAGCTTACCTTAACCTCTTCAAAAACAGAGGCCTGCTCCTGGTTATTTAGTGTTGTTAGATGCTTTTGTAGTTCTAGTTTAGTCCTAGAAGGGTGTAAGCCTACCAAGAGGAATAAAAAAGAACAAATCACAGGGTCAAATTTGTCAGAATTCATCAGTCACATAAATATGAACACAATTTAAGTCAAAGCTCGTCAATTATTTGAGCTGACCTGTTGCACTGATTTCATAACAGGGCATTAGAAAGAACTCTAGGTTAATTTAAAGCTACTACTGAACTCATGTCTTTAAAACGAGGGACACGAACTCTACAACGAGGAGATTTACTAAGCACAGACCAGGATTATACTCTTAACTGAACATTCCATTATCACACAAGATAAAATAAACCCACAATCTACTGCATTTTAGCAGACTGCTTAGTTGGAGTTGTATGCAGTACTGCTTGAATTTTGCTTGGGTATAATCATAAGTTCCATTGATTCTCTCCAATTTGTACTCCTTGGCCTCTTCTGAAAAAGAGCAAATTTATCGCATGTTAGCGGAGTTCTTGCTTTGCCTCTTGCTGCAAACATTTACTGGCAGTCTAAAGCAGACTGCCCTCTCATTCAGATTATTTTTTCCTGATCTCATCCTGGATTAAATTCCTTTCCTCTGTTTTTTTGTGGAAAACCAGCAAACCATCAACAGCATTTTGTACTTCAGTTTCTGATTATGGCATTTCTCCTTCAGAAGCAGAATATACGATTAAACAGACGGCATGACTAAATGAATTAAGAATTATTTGCCTTGAAGAAATTTCTCAAAAATCATAGCTAGCTGAAGTCCAAAACAGAGTGAAAAGTAGTTTTGGAAGTCCTCCAGTTTCATCAAATTAATACTAGATAGGTTTTAGTCCAACAAGCTACTGTCACATGATCTAACAAGCTGCTGTTACCCTTCATTCACCCCAGACATCGCTTAATGACCAAAACCTAATTGTGAAATTTGCTGAAATGCAAAGAGGGTTTTTTTTTTGTCTTGAACTTGTTTTCTGGGCAACAACTACCATTCTAAGTGCTGCGTTTTCATGAAGGAGCATAGATCAACACCACAAACGCGCATATTAAAAGCTCACTTTTCAGTTTGTGTTTAGTGGTAGTGTAATGCCAGTATCTAAGTGGATTCAATAGGACAGCAGGCCATAGCTATTGCAGCGTGTATTCTTGAGAAGTTCCTTACCCACAGTCCCCTGTGTTTATACAGCCAATAGAGCCAACCTAGCTGCAATTCAGTAATATTTGTACTCTTCATTAGTTTTCAAAATTTCAATTAAAATACAAGAAAGGATCTTGACTTTTGTTAGAAAATTCTTACTGCTTCACAGATAACTTGACACTGCAGTCCTCTAAATGAAGAGACTGGCCTTCAACCCTCCATCCCAAGTCCCGAGCTCTTTTTAAGCATCCATTCTCCTAGACTTTCACATGCAAGATTGTCCTCCAATAAAATTGTTAGAAAAAAATACTCGACCAGAAATTTCTTTAAACCTCACCTTCAATCTTTTCACAGAGTTTATGCAGGCTTTGCATAGGACACCCTTCACAGAGCTGGGGTTGTGCCTTGGAAGTTTGTTGCACAGCAGCTACGGTGAAAGCCTGTTTCAATGTCATCATGATTTCATCAACCTGAAAAGAACAGAGTGCAAAAGAACAGAATTTCTCTTCTCCACTGAATTTCTGTTTTCCTTAACACAAACATAAATCTTGTAGAATGCCGCTGCTGCTTGTCTGGCTATGTGTTTATGAGTAAAAAGAAAAGCTGGTCCCGTGCCTTTTCTGCACACAAACACCCAAGCAAGACTAAACTCATTGTGAAGTCATATCTCTTCCAGGCCACCCAATTTTATTACTGTGGTCTAATAAACGACACTGCCTTTATCTTGTCTGTGATAAAAAAGCTTACCGCAGTTGTGATGCACTGGCCTGATCTAGAGCACAGTCATGTAATGCTGATTTTCTGAACAGGTACACTGTGAAAAAACCCTCTTCCAAAAAAGAGGCATACAGTCTAACCTAGTTTGTACAATGAAAGGAAGTTTTATTGTATTTTAAAGGGGATTTTAATGTCTGCCTTCAAAACAAATTAAAAGTTCCTTTGCAGACTGCTATTTTAGTTACATTTTGGAAATAATTATATTTCTGAGTAGAACAGGATTTTAGGACGTTTAGCAAAATACACAGCATGGAGCAATAGAAGACTAATAGAATATTAGGCTCTTCTTTTCTTTCACTTACCAGTGCTTCATCTGTGCACTGAAACACGTAGCAAACAAAGTGGAAGCCTCCATTTTCTGAAGACTCTCTGCAGATGAACCCAAAGTGATCCACATGTCTAATTCCCTAGCACAAAAACAACGATAATGAAGCAGTCGTATTTACTGTCAATGTTTTGTACCTGTATTTTTTCCAGTACCAAAAGCATGAAAGGCCCAACAGCATTACAGATGGGTCACGTATCTCTGTTACTGCTGCATTAAAGTCATCAAGCCATTAAAAAAAATCTATTCTGTTATAGAACCCATTACTTCATTTACTTTACCTATTACTACATTTACATAGAACCCATTACTTCATTGCTCCAAACCAGGACAATCTTTTAAATTTCACTTAAGTCAGAGGTTGTTTGTTGCTTGTTTTGTGGGTTTTTTTTTTAATGGCTGAATTATAATGGATCCATTGGAAAACACTTACAGGGATGAATAATTAGTATTCAAGACCTATTTTACTCAATGTTGGAAATAGCAGGGGAAAAAAGCTTGTTCAGTTTTTCTTCTCTTTTGCGTAAGTGGTCCACAACTGCTTTACATTTTTAAGAGCAAATCAAAGCAATAGTGAAAAATGGATAAACTTTTTTTTTTTTCCATCTAAAGAAAAGCTTGGCTAGTTAAAAAAAGAAAATGGTTAAATATATTACTAAAAGATCACTCACGGAAGCATTTATTTCTCCTAAAAGGCATGCAAATTCAGGCGCGATCTACTTGCAACTGTAGATAAACAGTACATCCTGGTAAAATGCTAAGAAGATTTTTAAATGCTGGGAATTTTTTTCTTTTATGAAAAGCCTTTCAGATAAGTACAGTTAGGTGATCCCAGTGCACGCCTCCTCAGTGCACCATTCTTCGTTAAAAAAAACCAAAACAACCAAACCACACTTATGATGATGAATTACATGCAGAGTGGTAGAGCCTGTTTATAGAAATTCAGCTACGTTCAGCACCATTTTACTACATTCCACTTATAATGGCACAACAATATTCAAGTCAGGTAAAGAGTGGCAATAAACTGTTGTATCAAAAATCATAATGACAAATCACAGTAAATCAGAAATCTCAGTGCAATTTAAACAACCTGAAGATGCCAAGCAGGACTTTTTTGTTGTTCTTCTTGCTTTTACTTGTTAACACAGCAAGAATCACTGAATATTCTCTTTATCTTTTTATCGTGAAGAAAACACTAAAAAAGGCATTTAAAAGGCATAAAAAGTGAATACTTCTATAAAACAGAATGGCCAGTGTCCCAAAAAAGAACACGTTATAGCATCAGATATACTTAAGCAAACCAAAAAATGTCATCTTATCGCTTGAAATATTAACAATAAACCCTGAGAGCATGCCAGCTGAAGGAAGGAAAATGAATTAACGTATACAGAGATACCTGTTTTGTTGGAATGTGAAAATTGAACATAGATAACAAAGGCTTTATTACACAAACATCAGGCACTAATATGCCATGAGAACAAATACATCAGAAGGACATTCAAATGATGTAAAGCCTGCAGCTTCTACAACTCTAGCTCCATTGGATGTCCAGGCTACGCATTTTAGGAGGCAGATATGTGATGGAGCAAGAACAGGCTGATGCAACCCACTGATTCTCCCCCTTCATCATCCACATCACAGATGTGTACAGAATGCACTGAGCCCCTCTCTAACCTTCCAGCCCGTGTTTCTTCTTCTGAAAGCCCTTTTCTTCTCCTGAAAACCCAACTGCTACGGTGGAGGGAGCCCAGTTGGGATCATGGCCCTGATCACAAAACTGCAAAGTACCAGGAGCTGGAGAATGCTCTTAGCTGCTTCAGGTCAGCTAACTCAGATACTGCCCCAGGGCCACATACTTCTTTCTGCCATTATAATATCTCCCTGACGGACTGGGCATTGTGGAAATTAAGTACTGATTCTGATCTCCCTTATAATTTAACTCTAGTGCCTTCAAGAAAATATTAGTAAAGTATGATCAAGACAAGTCCATAAGATCATTCCATCAAGTCTTTAGAAATGCACATACTTGAGAGAAAAGCCCTCTGTGTCCTAATACCAATACTGAAAAGCCCAACTGAAATAACATTTGCGCAGCAACACATTCTTCAGACAGGAGATGAGAAGCTCACTCCTACTGCTCTGAGGAGCACAACTGTCTACTGACCTCCAGGGCAAGTCACAAGGTCTAATTAACTCGCTCCTGCCTAGGAAAACAGTCTTAAAACGCTAACATGGGGAGAAAGATTTTTCCGTGATTCAGGAGTTCTCTTCAAAACTGTTGATCCGACAGCATGCAAGCTACTTACATTTACTCTGAAATTTTCAGAATAGGTACCTGTATGTTTAGTGATGAAAGTTAACCTCATCAAATTAAAAAAGTCATTCATGAAAAAGCAAAGAATCAAAAAAGCTAGAAGCAAATAACAGCAACTCATATTATAGAATCATAGAATGGTTTGGGTTGGAAGGGACCTTGAGAGGTCATTTAGCCCAACCCCCCTGCAGTGCACAGGGACATCTCCAATGAGATCAGGTTGCTCAGAGCCCTGTCCAACCTGACCTTGAATGTTTCCAGGGATGGGGCATCTACCACCTCTCTGGGCATCCTGTTCCAGTGTTTCACCACCCTCATAGTAAAGAAAATTTCTTTCTTGTATCTAATCTAAACCTACTCTCTCAGTTTAAAGCCATCAAACATTGTCCTATCAATACATGCCCTTGTAGAAAGGCCCTCTCCAGCCTTCTTGTAGGCCCCCTTCAGGTACTGGAAAGCATCTATAAGGTCTCCCCAGAGCCTTCTCTTCTCCAGGCTGAACAGTCCCAACTCTCTCAGCCTTTCCTCATCAGAGAGGTGTTCCAGCCCTCTGATCATTGCTGTGGCCTCCTCTGGACCCTCTCCAACAGCTCCATGTCTTTCCTGTGCTGAGGGCTCCAGAGCTGGATGCAGGACTCCAGGTGAGGTCTCACTAGAGCAGAGAGGCAGAATCACCTCCCTTGACCTGCTGGCCATGCTTCTTTTGATGCAGCCCAGGATGCAAATATATTCCCTATATTTAAAAATGTGTAAATAAAATTACTGCCAAAAAAAAAAAAAAAGAATTTTGTCCTTATATCATTAAGACCAGAGCCTGCGATGCACTGAGTAGACCTGGACTATGCAAGTAAGTCAAGTGCAAAATAGTTCCTAGTGCAAGAAACAGTGGCAAAACTCACATCCTCGTACACTAGGTCTTATTCTCACCCAAGCCCCACAGCACAAACAAGCACTACACTCATTTAATTCAAGGTGAATTTTTAGTTAAACTACCAGGATCGACCATTCCTCAATAAATGTAAATTTATTTATATAATTACAGTTCAGGTTAATTTCTCAAGAGGTTTAAGCTAAAATGGTCTATAACAAGTTTTAAAGGAATTAAGTGTTCTCTAAGGACTCTGTCCTAGTTTAATGAATTAAATTCAATTTCCCCATTTACTTAAACTGAATTAAATCAGGGACACAGACAAACTAAATACAAATAATGCCCT